ATTAAAGGCAGCGCCCACGTTCACTTGATGTTCCTACGCCCTTTCTGGATATCATAGCCCTCCCCATAAGGATGCAGTATGTACTAGTTTTGCATCTCACAAAGGCGAGAGGATAGCGCCTATCGCTAGTAAAGAGTCGACCGCCCCGCCCACCTGGCGACCACGACGCCCAACTTCATTTCTAATGGTTGCCTGATGGTGCGGTTGTTCCATTGCTGCTTCTCTCCACGTCGTGTGGTGAGAGTGAGGTGATAAGGGAAAACAGCTGAAATCAACAAGTGAGAACTCGTGCAACCACTCCTTCTCTTCGCCTTAAGCACGTACAACCCTATTAGTATGAAAGTCCGCATTTTGCATTTTCTTTTTGATTTTTCTTCACTAATAGGTTTCTTGCTACCTTGCTATTACTACCTGAGCCGCATACTCATCAAATTTGAACGCGGGCGCTGCCTTTAAGTCATTCTGAGTTGTACTATTTTGCCATATTCACAGCTATTTCGGGCACCTGACGATGGTGTCTGTGACTCCAATTTGTGGCGCAGTAGACCTCTTGCTCGAACAGATGGTGTGCTCTCCAGCCGTCATTCTTACAATCGAAAAAGAAAGGCGATCAAAGCGGATACTTGCCTCCGGTGCGTTTCACAACACGGAGGGATCTACCGAGAAATAAAAGCTATCACTACGTGTTTACATATATGTGCACCTTTCCAGGTATCCCAGCGGGAGTAATGACTTATGCGGCGATAGCTCAACAGCGGCATCTCTCGGTAATTTAGGGCCAAACGGTACGTTCATTCCGTTGTGTTTGAGGAATGATCTGTTATGTCCTTCATATTTAAGCTAATTGGGATCTACAATCTTCCAGTCTTGACAATGACTTGAGTGATGACGTCAGTAGGAGGCAGTGTGCTGAGGTAACGCCTTCTGTTTGTTTTCTTGGTGCTCTGATGAAGGTTGTTCCCTTCACTAGATTAGGCTACAAATCCATGCGTTGTGTGTCGGGACATGCTACGTATCGTTACACGCCAGTGATGTTGGGGTAAGGGGGGGGGGAGAGGGAAGAATAGTTCGAGAGGGGGTGAATCGCTTTTTATGGAGAGTGAAATAATTTTCCGTAGTCCGCCTTCCAAGTGCGCTATCCGTTACGCCACCGAGGCCGCCTCTCACACACATCGCTGCTTGGGCAACCCCTCCCCCCTTTTTTTGTCAGAGGGTTGGTACGACCCCCTCCTTTGGTTCCCTCCTCATCGAGCTGTCGAGCGAGGAGGGTTACGTGACATCTTCAACTTTTGTGCATGGTCCTGTTGCGAAACTAAGAGACGCAGACAGATAGACGGACAGTGCCTGCCAAGGCAGCGAGACGCGCAAGAAACTATGGGCGAGCCAGGGAACGAGCTTCATCATGCGAACGTTTTTCAAGGGGAGGAGACTCCGGGGTGGATGAGTCACTTATCATACGTGAAAAGCTGGAATGTGCGAAGTCACAATGACCATAGAGTGCCACGCGGACGAGAGAGAGCAGAGAAAAACACAAATTCGACGCGTTCAAAGGAATTGAGTTCAAGTTGTCCGTAAGACACGAACGGGACGCGAAGAGGGGGCGCGGCCGGGGGTGGGGTAGATAGCACATGTGAAACGGGAAAACCGCGAGAGAGATACGACCCCATCTACCAACAGTGAGTGAATACGACCCCTCCTCCTTGGCTTGTCGTTGTTAGGGATCCCACCCCCCCCTGGCTGTCCCACCGCGGGCTCTGGGAGCCAAACAATGGTGGCCCATCTCACACTGCTTTAGCCTTGCGAGTGCATGGCGAAACAGTGTAGTGCTAAAAGCCTAATGGGCACAAGAGCTAGTAACTGAGGGCGCGAGGAGCGCCCTATATGGCGCAACGGGTTTTTAAACTCGTGAGCTGCTAGTTGAAAGTCACTTTGAGGCAACAAGTTCTGCCATCAACATCAACATTGGTTGTATGATTTCAGTTTGCTTAGGCAGCATTATCGTAAAAAATCAGTACAATGCTTTTGTTCAGGAGTTCGAGTTTCGATCAGGAAGGACAGCATTTTGCCGAATTTGTCAACTCCATGTCAAATCCACTTCAGACAAATGTCACATTATCTGAAGTTCGGCTAATAATAATGTTGTTCCTAAACAAACACAGCCTGGCGCTTTTGATTTCGTCTTTTGCTTTTCCTTATAGCATCATTAAGATGTCACCTGCGACGTCCAATATACAGATGCCCTATTTGTGATGTCTCTTCAACGTATCACCTTTCGAACATTCGAGTTCATATTAAGAAAGTCCATCATATGACGGTAAACATTGTCATGCCTTCTCTTCTTTGATTCTTTTCACTCAAGTGTTTGAAGATTTTCTGTTTCGAGCGAGCCCCTTTGTTAACAAGGGATCATAAACGAAATGAACGCCTTCTTGTACAGGTGCGTTTCGATAGCGTATGCCTTCTTGGATTAAAAGCCTGCGGAGTCTTGGAGGAAGGTGTCTTTGAGATTTTCAGCATTTTTTCACTCATTTTCAGCTGTTTCGGAGATCATCAGATTTTCCGGCGACAGGACCCAGATGTGGTAGCTTGTCTAACTGATATGTTGAATTGTGTCAGTAATGGTTCAACAGCATGCATGACGATGACAGGTATTGCGTCTATTCATTGTTGACTCGTAAACTAATTTGGCAGGCTCCACTGTGTCCTCTGAAGGCCACCTTGCCCCTCCCAGCCTTTCCCTCCTTCCACGCCAGCTGCCGTTTTTTGCGCTAGAATTTTCAAGCTGTGACAAAAATTTGGCTGAGGAGATCACGACGTCGCTTAGCACTGGGCTTCCAACGTCCTTATTTACAGTCTAGTTCGCTGCGGATGGAGGATGAATTTGGGAGCCCGTTTCTTCTCTTTTTCTTTATGTAGGCGACTAGACTTATCAGTCCACATCAATCCATCAGTCATATTCCATCAATGTTTGTCGCTTACCCGTTTCCGAAGCGGTGGGGGACGAGCTGACGATTCCCCATACCCAGCCCTACTGACACATCCCATCATCCGCAGTAACAAGACTGTATAGATTCAGATCACACCGAGCCTAGGGCTCCGAAAGGACACAGAAACGGTACGATAGTTCGCAGAGTGATAGCGTAAAAGAGTGGAAGGGATTACGTTTGGGTAGATTGCCAAAAGGCGCACACAGGGATGTGTGCAGTACGGCATTGTGTCCTCCCGCTAGACTTAGGAAACTGTTCACTTTACCAGAGGTCCTATAATAGTTCCTTTTTCCTGAAATTTGGAAGAATTAAGGCTTTTCTAAATCTACCACAGGATAGCCAACTCCTTCACTGATCTATAAGAGTTTTGGATCTCATTTAGAATTGCTATTATACTCTTCTGAAATTGCTCCGCAAGATTTTGCACTATCGCAGTTGGGCAAGACCGTGGTTGCCTTCACATTTCTAGGAGTGAGCATGCTGGAAGGAAAGCTGTTCTCTCTCAGTGAGGGCGAAGACGAGCAGCTTTCAGTTACGCCATAGCGTTCCCCTTCATTCCCCCGATTCCCAGTTACATTCTGCTCTTTCATTTGTGTGATATTAACTAGGCTTTACACATTGGCTGCAACTATGAGTGGAGAACTCTGAAAATTTTCCCTATATTTCCAGATTTTTGCTCTCGGAGCGATGGCCAGGAAGAACGAGTTCCGCTTGCTGCGGCAGGTTCGATTTTTAGTGAACCACCAGCAATTTTGGCTCGAACGCACTCCCGAAACACGTGTCGGTTGTGTTTTGAGTCCAATGTGAAGCATCTGGAACGGCATGTTTTACAGGTAATTCCCCTGTGATGATAATTTATCCGTCGCTAACACTTCGATCCTTTCAGCATCATATTAAACAGCCAATGTTCTTGTGTCCCTGCTGTAATTTTAGCAGCTGCTATTCACCGACATCGGTCAAAGACCATATTAAGGTGAATTCTTGTACTTCTGGAAAACTGATATAAACCAGGAGTCATGCGAATGATTTGTCCTGATTCAGACTCGCCATAGTATGTATGATCCCGTGCCTCTGGATGTGAGGGATGAGTACGCGGAGATTATCCAGACTGTTTATAACCAGTGTTTTGTTGACGACAGCGCTGTGCTCGCCAGCAGGATTGCTTTCAAACAGGTACGGATCGCTTTCACTCGTTTACATGAAGAGCGAGGGTCCCCAAACCAGACGGGTGCTACTTTCGCCACTCGACATTGAATGCATGCACGCCACTGGTTCACAATGGCCGGAAATTCCGCCCTTTCCGTGCAGACCCATATGACTAATCTGCAGCGTAGTGCTCATTTTTCTTGCGCATAGGTGGGTGGGACTGTGTGGTCCTTCGAGCGCCTTTGCATCTATTTACCTTGTATCGTAATATGGTGCTGTCCCGGAGCCTCATTGTAATCTGAACATGAAACACGTGAAAGAGGCGCCAAAAAATTTATTGCAAAAAACTCAAAAGACTCAAAAGAATCCAAAAGTTCTTGCAAAAATTTTTGTTTCTAATACTTCCTTCGAATATTTCGGTGCCTAGCACCTTCCTCAGCGATCTGGTCTTCTGCCTCCAATATAGCCTCCGCCGCTCCTTGCAAAAGTGCGACTTCTAGTGTTGACTTCACAGTCAACACTAGAAGTCGCACTTTTGCAAGGAGCGGCGGAGGCTATATTGGAGGCAGAAGACCAGATCGCTGAGGAAGGTGCTAGGCACCGAAATATTCGAAGGAAGTATTAGAAACAAAAATTTTTGCAAGAACTTTTGGATTCTTTTGAGTCTTTTGAGTTTTTTGCAATAAATTTTTTGGCGCCTCTTTCACGTGTTTCATGTTCTATTTACCTTGTGTTCATCCCGTGATGACCATCAAGCGGGTCTTATTTTGGACGTTTTCGACGGATGCAGTGGCATAAATTGATACGTAGTGTTGTCCTACAAATGATAGTAGAGTCTCACCCCTCTCTTCTTGTTCTCTCAATCTATGGGTTCCCATTTATTTTTACATGGCAGTCTTCCCCGCACTGCAGTCCATTTATAAGATCCTCATCCGCGTCATTTACCCATTCACAAAATGTCCACGATCGATGTGTGGATACCTGTTTGAGACCATGCCCCACATTACTGACCATTTCCTTGCTGGATAACTTTGTCGCAAACAGGATTATGTCTGTCACCTGCAGTGGACATCACCCCGACTGAGTTAATCTTTCGCAAAATGACTTGACATTCTTGCACGAAACGCCTTCCGCACTAGCCCCTGTACACGCTAGATCTCCGACCAACCTGCCCCAGATTGCCGCGCCTTCTTTGAACGTAGGATTCCCATCAGTCTTAACAGGCAAAGTAAAATGTGCGGATTCATTTTATACCAAGTACCTGTCCGACTCATCCATATAGAGTCCGTCAACGGTTCGTATTTTAGCACTCTTGATCAACAGCCCTAATGCTAACTTATTCTTGCGAGCAAATCGGAGTCTGTGCTTTTCGTGCAATACTGTTCTATCAGGAGAAGATTCAGTTACCTTCACGATGAATGATCATATATTTATATAAAACTGCTCAAATATGAATAAAAATAGAGAAATTCATCTACTGCAGCATCTTTTGCCTATTGAAGACACCATCGGTGACATGAAGCGTAGGTTGCTAAATTATGGGAACTTACCGAAGGACTTGCTAGCGAAGAGAAAGTTAAAAAAGAAGTGTTGAAAACGCTTCAAAAGCAGGTCTCTAGTCTCAAGCAATTGTACGAGTGGAAGACGAAAAGAGCGCATAAGGCCTAAGGAGTCCATTTAATCGATTCCTCATATGGACCCATGCACGGCAATGTACAGTCCTCATCATTGCGGACCGGTGGGGCGTGGCAGTGCGGCTGCTTTGGTGCGGTTTGGCAAAATCGTTCTGCACCAGTTTTTGAAGCGGGCAAGTGCATTACTGTATTATATCCTTCGTATTACTCGTTTTCTACCACTTTTTGTCGCATACGCGTTGCAACAAAAAAGGCTGAGAACGGCTTCAACAGTGTGCGCACTCCTTCTGGCTGACACGCCCCACCGGTCCGCAATGATGAGGACTATAGTTCCTATTTTGTGCTGCTAGTCTAGTAGGCAGTTGTACGCTGGAAGGGGTTATCATGGAGGGCGGGCTTTGAAGGCAGAGTTACGGCACAGAAGAAAACACATAAGCAAAGTTGATTGGCAACAAGATCGTAACCAATATCTAACATTTGGAGTCCCCGTTAGCCTTGAAAGCACAGGCTGTGCTCGTCGTGTGGTCGGAGCCGGACCTACCACCTAGTGCCTTTTCCTCACAGTGATGCAGCCCCCATTTCTGAGAAGATAGGGAGAAGGAGTGTACCGACAGTAGAAGTCTAGGCTCCATCAAAAGAGCTTGGAGGAAGCTTCAGTTGAACGTGGGCCCTCCTACCCCAATCCTCTCAACCTTTGCCCCTTCGGAAATGAAAAACTCATACCATCTTGTAGCATTCGGAATTGCTTCACACATACTGAAATTAAGTCTTGTAAACGCTATAGTGACCACTGCACCCTGGGAAATTTCGTACTGGCTAAACGATCTGACTGGGAGGTTTGTCACTCCCACCACCCCGTCCCCATAGGTTAAATCTTCCTGGCTTTTGCTAAAGGATTATCAGCATCCAAATAGAACGATAAGAGCAACTGCAGACTCCATGTTCGGAATTTCTTTCGCGCGATTTCTCCTTCTACAGTATTCTACAGCACGCTGTGGAAATGGTAGCGTTGTCTCACCGAAGAACATAGATAGCTTCAGGTAGAGACCACCTTGATTCAAGAAGCGCCGACCAGAAATCCACATTGAATCGTTGTGCAGAAACTCAATCGAGGCGAGTGAAATGAATGAAAATGACTTCTGTTGTGGCCCTAACAGTACAGGGGGGGGGGGGGGGGGAGGGTGGTACAGGGGGGGGGGGCAAAAAAAGACTTTTTTCTCTTTCGAGGCGCTATAAGTTACACTTTTATAAATTCTTATCGGACATTTCTACCACCATATTAAAGAGCATATTAAATACTATCATGACACTCCGCCACAGCCTTCTGGAGGAGCGCCATCGAGAGATTCTGGCACGCGACCGCGATGTGGTGCCTGAGATCAGCGAGATAGTCGATTTCTCCGCCACCGTAGACCACCCTATTGAACTCCGCAGGTAATTGAGGGGTTTAGGTCAGGTTACCTGCTTAGATATTCCACCTTCTTCAGGTACTCAACTTCCATTCCAAGTAGGCAAGAGTTTTCCCAACGCCCTTTGATTCCATGTGGTGTCACCCAATCCTGTAGCAGTACAAAGTTTCCAAGAAGGTACGGGCGACGACATGTGGAGAGGATATTCTTCTCGAGTTGCTCGATGTAACCGCCAGCGCTCACCTTTAGTCCGGGGCCCACGAAGAAAATATCGGTCTCTCCATTCCAGGTACGTCCGGTCCCCACCATCAACTGGCGCCTTGGCGACTGAGGTGAAGATGATGTCCTAGACCGTAGCGACGTTGACGGAGCTGCTCGATGATGGAGGTCTTCCAGATCGAGAGTACTGCTCTCCAGGTAGCTATCCTGACTCGGTCAAAATGTCTTTTTTTTGCCCCCCCCCCTGTATTGTTGCTCGGATGTGGCTATGTTTGGCGCGTCGCCAGCCCGTTCCCAGCAGTTGTTGAGGAGAGTAAACGGCAGCAGTTGGTGGAAAACGACTAACACGAACGTTATAATAGTTTTATGGCTCGTCGAAAGAAGGAAAAACGGGGTGATGCTGCTCTAAACACATCTCTTTTGAGGCCCCATTGTCTGCAGCAAACAACATTGGACCTCTTTTGAGGCCCCATTGTCTGCAGCAAACAACATTGGACTGCAGCTTTGCCCCGGCGCTGCTTTCACCACACTATCACAGCTTAGGACGTGTGTACCCCTGTAGTGTGCACCCCTGTAAAGCATCCTGAAATGACATACACAAGCGAGTAAAATTTATTTTTGCATTCATCTCTAATTAACTTGTATAGATAATCGAGAAAATGACATGAATCCTTCTTTGTACAAAGTTTCTTCCTTCTTGGGTGTAGTCCACGATGCTGCTCTCACTTTTACTAAGGCCACATAAAGGGCAGTCGTGACCACTATCGAGGCGGCAAGGCAGTAGAAAACAACGGCCCACTGAAATTGCGCCAATGCTCTCTGTGCTGATATCGAACAGGACTGTGAGTGGAAATTTACCTGTCCCTTCGTATTATCCGGCACCATTAAGTGAATACCTCCAGGTATAAGAATTTGGATGAGACCGGCTATGATCACATTGTAGTTCAAGGCGATATGCGCGTATTGAGCAGCAACCTGTTATTATATTGTTACCTTATCTACAGGAACTCTCATTCTATGTGAAAATGATGGGTAGTAGAAATACAAGGGAGCGAAATGCTGGAACTTTTGAAGTTTCTCCGAAATTTGCATCTGTGAATGTAACTTGCTGTGAAAAAGGAAAGGGAATGCGCCGAAAAACGTTGACCGAGTCACATATCAGCAAAGTTTTCGCAGCCCAGACAGAGGACGTGGATACGAGTACCAGGGCGGAAGATACCCAAGATGTTCCTCGATAAGCAGAGCAGGCTCTCGCCCATCACCTTCATGTACACCAAAATATGAAGTCATCTCCATCGCAGCCTGACTGGAGAAGGCCTTTGGAATTCACGTCACTT